CAGTAGCAAAATGACAGTGATGAAGTACCAACGAAAATAATTTTATGGTTGGGGGGTCACCACAACATGAGGAACTGTATGGAAGGGTCTTGGCATGAGGAAGGTTGAGAACCACTGTGCTAGATTAAGATGGCAAAGGAAGAAAGGGCTGGCAAACATCAGACAATTAAAGCACTATCAATCACAATGATCCAATCCATAACTGATTATGGGGGTGGCACAGGGACCGGAGCAGCGTTTTGTTCCACTGTGCATGGGGTCACCAAGGGTCCAAGATGGGACAGGTACTCACAACCACCAGAGCCTCTGTGTGTAGGCTCTGCTGTCACCCCATCCTGCTTATAGGATGCCCTGGATCCCACAGCAGACAGCAGAGACACGTCCTGGGACATTCCTCCAGGCAGAGGGCCAGGACCCTGGACTTTCTCCAGCCCTCGCTGCCTACCTTGAGACTGAAGGTGGTCCGAGAGATCCGCTGCCTTTCCTATTACAGGATACCCACTTGGAACACTCAGCCACTCCCCACCCATCCCTCAGTTCCCACCCACATCTCCGACTGCCTCTGGGAGAATTTGGGAAACTTTGGGTGAGTCCGCTGCTGGGAACCGTGATTCAATTAAGATCTCGATTTTCAACAATATTATGAAGTCTTGCGGTCTGTGACTTCACACCCAACATAGCTGGGCCTCCCTGTGAGTGGCAGAGTAATGAGCACTTGCTAATTACTGGTGCTGGGAGGCAGGGCAGGCCATACAGGGTGAGCGCAGTTAGAGGACAAATGGGCAGGCGGAGAAAAGTGCTTTTCTTAACAGGACCTCCCAGGCCCCTCTCTGGCTGACTTGGGGCCTGAGCAGCCCCCCTTCCTCAAAGCCCAACCAATTTCCCCAGAACCTCAACTGCAGTGCTGCAGCCCTGACCAGGAGGTGGTGTGCCAGGCACTGAGCTGAGTGCCAGCTTGCACCATCATCTCCATCCGCATCTTGACTTCTTTCCACCGGGCCAGGGGTAGCAACTCTTTGTGTCCATTGAACAGATGTGAAAATGGAGGTACAGAGACATGAAAGGCCCATCCAGTTCTGCCTGGTTCTAGAGTCTGGGTTCTAAATCACCCGCACAGACAGGCCTTCCCTATGGTTTTACGCAGAGGATCAGATGTCGCCTTTAGACCAGCCTCAGAAGCCATTCACAAAACGCTTGTCGGCCTATGACTTTTATACGAGGCTGCCTCCCTAGTCATTCTTCTCCCACATTCTTGGTATTTTTGCTTGTAGGCTCCTTCTGCGAGGGGACTGAATCTTAGCAGGTCTTTGCGTCCCAATGACCCTGCCCCAGCTTTTGAAACAGAGTGAAAACGGAGCAAAACAACCAAACTCACGGCTGGTGACTCAATTCCAACAGGGCATCCCAGGTGCTCTGACGAGGACTGGACTCCATAGGGTTCTCCTTGGCTGTGAGCTTTCAGAAGCAGGTTGCCAGCTCTTGGGTAGATTTTGGTTTTGATATTATTATGTACCACTGAGTTCATTACTACTCCTAGCAACCTTATACGACAGAGCAGACCCATCTCATGGGGTTTCCTAGGCTGCAATCCTTTACAGAAGCAGATCACCAGGTCTGGGAAAAGAGCTGCAGAATGGTGGGCTTAACTACCAACCTTCTGGTGCATAATTGAGCTCGTAATCACTGTGTCACCAGATTTCTTCCAAACCAAACCAAACCAAACCAAACCAAACCAAACCAAACCAAACCAAACCAAGCCAAACCAAGCCAAACCAAGCCAAACTCCCTGCCACCAAGTCCATACCAGCTCATAGTGACTCTATAGTTCAGAGTAGAACGGTTTCTGTGAGTTTCCAAGATTGTAAATCTTGACAGGAGTAGAAAGCCTCCTCGTCCTTCCATGGATCAGCTGGTAGTTTAGAACTGCTGACCTTGGGGTTAACAGCCCAACATGTAATCACTATGCCACCAGAGCTCCTTGACAGAGCAACACTTGTTTTCATCATCAGAGCTCTGAGACATACGTAGGTGTCCATAATTCTCAGTTCAATGAATAAACACATCACACACCCTCGGAGTTCTCGCCCCAGGCCTCCCTCTGTCATTTACGATGGCTTCATGGTCTGATTCAGTGCCCAAATCAATGTCAACACGTTGTTTACAAGCTTTGATTTCTTCTAAGTCCCCAGCCCGGGCTCAACCTATATGAACCTATGTCTGGAACTGTATCTAGTATACAGTAGGTGCCAATGAGGTGGGTCAAGGAGGTGCCATCTGGCCCAGGAGGTAGGCTGTGAAGGTCTGGAGTACCCTGAATTCTGCCTTGAGGTCTTTGAAGGTCTGAACTCCCCCTCATTCCCTCCATCCTCCTGTTCCTGCTGTGGACCTTTGTAAGGTCAACCTCCCCTGGTCTTCTAGTCTCTGATCCCTAAGAGTTTCCGAAACAAATTGGGCTGGGGAGTGGCTCCATCCTGAGTAGTGAGTATGGAGGGGCGAGGGTGGGGGGGCCAGATACTTTCTGATCTGAGAGCTGAAGGGGAAAGGGGGCCTGTCACTTCCCTGGTTCAACCTTCTCCAAACTCGTTCCCCCAAAGACAGCTCTGGAAAGAGGTTGGAAGGGGAAGCTGGGGGAAGGGAGGTGCAAGCTAAAGTGAAATCAATCTAGCTTGAGGTAATTACAGGACACGTGCTGTTGCCCCAGCAGGGCGAATCAGAGCCGAGCTTCTCTCCCAGGGCAGCCAGAGCGATTAGTTAGTCATGAAAGCCTCATCACTCCAGAGGGAGGCTCACACACGAGTAAACTTCTGCTTTCTCCTACCTGCCAAATTGGGGGTGGTGATGGGATTATTTAAACAACCTAATGCCCCCCACCCCACCCCCCATGAAGGCTTTGGAAATGAAAACCTCAGTAGGGCTTACTCAGCTCTTGCGTTTTCAGGGTCTGGGAATGCTAGGGTTCTCAGACTAGTGGCTGAAGGGCTAGAAGATGCTGTGATTCTACGCTGTACCTTTCTCTCATGGCCTGCCAAATGCCAGAGGACAGGGCCCATCAGAGGGCTTGGGAAGCATCCTGAGAGTCTTTATGGCATTGGAAGAGCTCAGCGACTCTCTGGAAGGGGCCTCCAGGGACAACCTTCCCATTGTCTGCCTGCGTGCCTGTCAGTCTCTCTCTTACACGCACACACACACACACACACACACACACACACACACACACACTCATGCAGCTCAGGAATTCTGCCCAAGTCTCAGGCACACTTTGGAGAGGCTTGAAGATGTGGGACCACCAGCAGCCCCATGTCTGGGCAGGTGGACCAGACAAAGTCAGCGGGGAGGAATGTCGTCAAGGAGACTGTGACCCTTAAGGTGGGGGCCTGTGTGTCTGCACCTTCCCTCTGGCGGAATCACCCCTTTGACTCCCTTGAACCTGGGGGACAGCGGCGGCATGTCCCTGGCAGGGAGCAACCTCAGAACAGGAGTGCCCGGCGCAAGGGGCTCCAACTTCACCTGGGACCAGGTCGGGGCACACAGCGGGGACAGGGTTTAGCTGGGGGCGACCGGATCAGTGCAGTGCAGACCCCACAGACCTCCCTAGTGTAGTCAGGTCACCTACACGGCCTTGCCCCCTGCGCCCTGGCAGATGCCAACACCCGCTGACACGCAGGGATACAGCCCAATACACTGGAATCCAAGAGCACACTCACATCAAGGCACAGTCACAGGGAGTCCATGGCCTGCGGTGGGCACTCAGCACACACACACACACACACACACACACACACACACACACACACACC